CATGTACTACTCAACCCTCGGTTTTTGCTTGAAAATTCGGTCGTGTTAACACTTAAAAAACTATAATTTTCAAGCAAAAACCGAGGGTTGGTGGCCTTATTCATATATTTCTTTGCTCAATAGATTTCTTCATTAAATTAACTCATTTAAAAACAGAATGAGTTTAATTTTAAAACAAAAAAAATTCGAAGGAAGCGGTTTCTTCTCAGCTCTATCATCTCTCAAGTAGCCAACTTTGTCTCAAACAACAAATCCCTTATTTCCTCAGAAGCCCAAGCTGTTGGATCTGTTGCAAAAGCAGGAGTAAATATAAGCGAAGCAGTGAAAAGATCTAACGAGTTGAAAGAATTACAACATATAAGAGAAATGCGAAATAAAAGATTAGAAAATAAAAAAGGCAATGGTTTTAAAATTATTGGATAAAAATCTCAACTGATTAATGGGAGGTAACACTGTTTTTTATTTACTTCAGAGTAAAATAACAACTAGTTTATACACAGTTATTGATTTACAATAGACTATTATTGACTGGATACGCGTCACTAAGTAACAGATGGTTATATTAATATATAACATTCCGCCCATACAACATCAAGGTATGAGCTTTGTTTGATTTAAGCATAAGACGATAGGGTGTAATTAAGACGATATGTTATTTGTTGTTTTCTAAAATATCAATTTTTATACGCCCACATGAAATGGGGGGCGTATATTGTCGTCACCCATGTCCGTCCGTCCGTCCGTCCGTCCACAATTGCTCGTAAACACTCTACAGGGCACAATTCTTGACGGATTTTAACGAAACTTAGTATGTGTGTTCGCAATCACCCAAGTATAAACCCTATTGAAAATCAGCGAAATCCAAAAATATTTAGCATGAATTATTGCCCTTGTTAATTTTTAGCTCGTAAACACTCTAGAAGGCACAATTCTTGACAGATTTTGACGAAACTTGGTATGAGTGTTTGTAATCACCCAAGGATAAACCCTATTGAAAATCAGCGAAATCGAACAATATTAAGTATGAATTATTGCCCTTGTTCTTGCAAATGCGTTCAATTTTTAGCTCGTAAACACTCTAGAAGGCACAATTCTTGACAGATTTTGACGAAACTTGGTATGAGTGTTCGTTATCACCCAAGGATAGACCCTATTGAAAATCAGCGAAATCGAAAAATATTAAGTATGAATTATTGCCCTTGTTCTTGAAAACGCGTTCAATTTTTAGCTCGTAAACACTCTAGAAGGCATAATTCTTGAAGGATTTTAACGAAACTTGGTATGAGTGTTCGTAATCACCCAAGGATAAAACCTATAGAAAATCAGCGAAATCGAAAAATATTTAGTATGAATTATTGCCCTTGTTCTTGCAAATGCGTTCAATTTTTAGCTCGTAAACACTCTAGAAGGCACAATTCTTGACAGATTTTGACGAAACTTGGTATGAGTGTTTGTTATCACCCAAGGATAGACCCTATTGAAAATAAGCGAAATCGAAAAATATTAAGTATGAATTATTGCCCTTGTTCTTGAAAACGCGTTCAATTTTTAGCTCGTAAACACTTTAGAAGGCATAATTCTTGAAGGATTTTAACGAAACTTGGTATTAGTGCTCGTAATCACCCAAGGATAAACCCTATTGAAAATCCCCGAAATCGAAAAATATTTAGTATGAATTATTGCCCTTGTTCTTGCAAACGCGTTCAATTTTTAGCTCGTAAACACTCTAGAAGGCACATTTCTTGACAGATTTTGACGAAACTTGGTATGAGTGTTCGTTATCACCCAAGGATAGACCCTATTGAAAATCAGCGAAATCGAAAAATATTAATTATGAATTATTGCCCTTGTTCTTGAAAACGCATTCAATTTTTAGCCCATAAACACTCTAGAAGGCACAATTCTTGAAGGATTTTAACGAAACTTGGTATGAGTGTTCGTAATCACCCAAGGATAAACCCTATTGAAAATCAGCGAAATCAAAAAATATTTAGTATGAATTATTGCCCTTGTCATTGAAAACGTGTTCAATTTTTAGCTCGTAAACACTCTAGAAGGCACAATTCTTGAAGGATTTTAACGGAACTTGGTGAAATCTTTTATTATCACCCATGGATGAACCCTATCGAAAATCAAAAAAATCTGAATAGGAGTTATTGACCTCGTTCTTGAAAACGCTTTCAAATTTTAGCTCTTAAACACTAAAAGGCACGATTCTTGCCGGATTTTGACAAAGCTTGGTTTTATTATTCAGTACCATACTGAAGATTGAATATTTGCCTTCTAGAGTTTTCACAAGCTTAAATTGAACATGTTTTCAAGAACAAGGGCAATAACTCATACTCAATATATTATTCATATCGCCCTAAAGAATTCAAAAGAAGTGTATGACTGAAGGTTGAATATTTCATACTAGTGATTCTTACTGTACTGCTAAATATTTTTATTCATAAACAAAGCTGTCAGTGGGCGTATATTACCTTGCCTGGCAAGCTATCTTGTTTTATTCCAGACACAAGTTTAATAGATGCCAACATTTCATATCACGAAGAATATTTAAAACATCACAGGCAGTGGGTGACACACAAAGAGGGCAAGATTTTTACCAAACTCTGTGACAAATGTGCGAGGTTTCAAAATAGAACACGCGTTTTGGAAAAGGATATAATTCATGTGACGTATATCTACCGATTCTCTAGGAGCGGTCATGATCTTGAACTATGTCTACTAGCTGATTGTGTAAGAGGGGAGATAACCCTGAACTATGACTACCGATTCTCTAGGAGCGGTCATGACCTTGAACTATAACTACCGATTCACTAAGAGCGGTCATGACCTTAAAGTATACCTACCGATTCTGAAGGAATGGTAACGACCTTAAAGTATATCTACCGATTGTGTAAAAAGGGGAGATAACATTGAAGTGTATATCAATATACATGTAATTGTTTATGTTTTAAATTTTCTGTATTAAAAATTAATTTTGTAAACAGTTGTATTTATTAAAACCTAAAATTGCATTTCTATGGAGGTAAATGGTTTCAAATAATAGGGTAAAACCTATCTTTAACAAATGGCAGAAAAAAAATTAAAGATAAGATCCGATCTTTCAGTTATATGATCCAATTCGTTATTCGTTTAATAAGAAAGAAGAGGATTACATTATCATATCACCAACCGTTGGTTCTAGGTCTCAACTAAATTATGGGGGTAGGGTCACTTTCGAGATTAATTCATTATCGAATTGATTGCTTCTGTCTGATGCCTATTTCAAATACGATTTCAAAATCAAAGACGAAACTCTCAATGAGAATCGTGTACCACAAACCAACACAACATTGGAAAACAATTTCTTCCCATCTTTATTTCCTGAAATGGTTTTGGAAGCTGGTTCAAATCCCATAGAAACCATCAAACACCCCGGGAAATTTGACACAATGTTGAAAACAGTTCTATATCCCAAAAACTACAACTTGTTTCCGGATGGATAACTGATGTTGGTGATGGAAGTGCTTTAAAAGAAACGGCCAGAAATCTTCCAAATGATGCAAATGAAGATAGAATGAGAGCTATTGCTCGAAACACAATAGAAAGAGTAGGACGAGCAGGTAATCATGGATTTGAAAAACGAGTACTTCAGTACAATAATGTTGTTGAGAATAATAGGTGGGGTAATTACGTAAATTGGAAATTATATCCTTTATTTGGTCTGTTAGTATACAAAAGTTTCCATAGGGTTACCATATAAAATTCATCTACAAAGAGAAATCAATGATGATAAGATATTCTTCGGAGAGAATGCTTCAGATGCAAAATTAGAAATAACGAATCTCCAACTTTACATACCTGTAATAACACCATCAATTGAAGAAGAAACGAGAATATTCAACTCATTAACTAAAGATATTGAAATAGGATTTCTTCGTCGTAACACAATAGGTAGCATGACTTTAACTGGAGAATCCACTACATGGCCAATCACTAACACTATTAAACCAGCAAGATATTTAATGGTTGGTTTCAAAAACTTAACAGATTCTCAAACGAATAACAATTATATCTTTAGAGTAGCAATGAACCAAACTCAAGATCCTATAATCCATAAAGTTCAAGTAAGATTAAACAAAGATAATTATCCTAACCAACCTTTAACAATTAATCCATCCACGAAGGATTATAATGAATTGTATAGAAACTATAAAGATATGTGTGAAAAAACACAAGATGTAACCGGGTATTGTTTATTATTGGAAGAAGCAAAACATTTAATTAAAATATCCGACAGACGGATGATTCGTATAGATGAATCATTTAAATTACCCTCTTAAAAATGAAACCAGAAACTTCAGTAAAAGAATAATAGAAGCTATCGAAACGGAATCACCAACTACAATAACTTACAATGGTAAAAAGATCAAAATATCTAAAAAGCTTATCAATAGATATAAACATTGTAAAGTCCGTGTTGATATAGATTTGAAAAGAATTCAAAAGAGTGTAAAGGAAGGTGGATTTTTACCTTTCCTACATTTGATATTTGCTGGTCTGGCCGCAGCAGAGGCGACAGCTGATGAAGCGGCTGGAATAACACAATCTATCAACGCCAAGAAAGCAGCTGATACTGGAAAAAGTGAAAAACGTAGACATAATATGGAAATGGAAAAGATAGCACAAGGTTCAGGAGTATCAGATATATTAGGGACAGTTAAAGAATTTGGAAATCAGTTTATGGGGGCCGCCATGTTTGTTGACAACTAGATCAATAGGGGTAGTTTCGGAGTGAATATTCTGGAATTATTCAAATAAATTACGACAATTATTTCAAACACAGAAGGGATGTTTTGTACCAACTTAACAACCCTTACGTATATTTTTATTTTTCCTGGATATTCTATGCGTCATAAGGAATAAAATGACAGCTTTGACCTAATTTCCCAAGACTTTCTCCCAAGCAATGATTGCGGCTTTGCTGACATCATACGTCACGTTATAATGACGTCATCGTTATAGAGGATTCCTTTCACACCTTAAAGAAATTTCTCTAGATACCTTATAAAAGATTATCTACAGATCTTATATTCATAGAAGATTACCTTGACACATATGATTAATAGACAAAGTAGTTTGCATTACATACAGATCAGGTTGAATTTTTTTTATTTACAGTCAAGTAACCTAATTTCATGCTAACCTATTATTCGTGCATTTCCGGAAATGATTAATAATTTACATGTTCGACGTCGCATGACCTCCGCATTTGTTTGTTTTGGTAAACATAGGTTATCTGTACAATGTCAGCTAGTAGAATGAATCCAGTAGTTTCAAGCAAGGTAAAATGTGTATCAATGTATACTTTGACAAATACAAACTTGTGGATTTCAGTTATTACCAAACGTCACCATTTTTTATTGGCCGAATTTCCTTATAATCTCAAGCGGTAAGCGGTATTCGGAATTCCAGGTGTCGTCTGCTAGAATGTAGTCCAACGAATGAAGTCACGTGATCCACTAGCGGATTCCGTGTCAGCAGAAAATTTCGAAGGAACACAAAGTGGGCCATATTCTTATGTTGTTTCAGTGACTTTTAGCAATAAATCACGCTACGTATCTTATTTTGTCAGTCAATATTTGTTTTTAAAATCGTGGATCTTTGAAGGAATTTTCACTAGTTATAATGAATTGATATTAAAGATAAATACTAAGAGAAGTTAATTATACCACTGGGTATCAATACAACGTGTTTTTCTCGACTTATTTATAGATCAAAACATTGTACACGAAAATAGGTGACGTTATCTGTCGCCGTTGCCCAGTTTGTTGCTCATAAAATATGGGTCAAAGTGAAGAATTCATAAAGAAAATCGAAACAAACCAATTTTAATTATTTTGTAGGATAACTTCGACGGAATTGCACGAAAATAGGTTACACCACTGTAATTGTTAATAATTAATGTTAATTTATCAATAACCTGCGCTCTCATTCAAGGCCATGCCTTTATTCATATTATCTATAATGTTTATGGGTGGATCTTGGTGATGTGGAAAAGATATATATCGTTTAACTACATTTTAATCATAAAACTGGACGACGTGCATCTTAGTTATGGGCGCAGCCATATTCAATTAAGGGACATAACTCTCAATACATAAAATGATCAGAGGAGTCCGAAACACTGGACACTACATCCTTTCCCCCTTTAGATAAAAGAACATTGTCACTGGTTACACAATAGCACTGAAAGTTATTTGTGTTCTTTTCAAGTTAAAATAAAATTAAAAATGGATAACTGTCCACTTGATTAGATTTAAAATATTACGAATTAGTTAGCACATTGATTAAATATAATGTTACTCAAATCACAGTTCAGAACAATTGACTAGGAAATAATTAAAATTTGCCCAAAACATAGTCATTTAGATAACGGGGTCTATTACGATGTCTTCTTGGGTTTCTTCTCATTGGTTGTGGAATTATTGGATTTGGTCGTTGAGCATAACTATCATCCTCGATGTCATCTTCAGAATCGGATGTTGCTTTATTGAGCTGATTTGACGTAGTTGGTACCCTTTTTAGTAACGAGCTGTTTCTTGCATAAACTTTACCATTAGGTCGTTTCAGTGTAATCATAGATCCTTTTACATCTATTACAAGGGATGGTTCAGCACTAAAAGGCGTAGACAATTTATCGACTTTATTCTGTTTCACTAATACCAAGTCTCCTTGCATGAGATCAGATGATTTGGCATGGAACTTTTGATCTGCATATGATTTCATCTTACATTTGGCAGCTTTATCGTTTATTCTAGCCAATTTCTGGTGGTTGTCTTCACTTGGTGTTTCTAATGAATTTTCTGGAAGTTTGGTTTTGATTTGATGATTAAACAACAGTTAAGCTGGGGATACACCGGTTGTAGAATGTGGCGTTGCTTTCAACAAAAAATGAACGAATGTACTTTTCGATCGTACGCATAAACCTTTCAGCTTCACCATTTGCTTTAGGCCAGTATGGAGTGACACGTGCATGATGAAAACCAACAGTTTTAGCATATGATTGAAATTCTGCACCATTAAATGGGGGTCCATTATCAGATTTAAGTTCGTGAACAATTCCATGTGTAGCAAACATTTTGTCTAACTTCAGTATAATACAGTGAGCTGAGGTTGATTTGATGATTTCTACTTCTGGATAACGAGAGTAATAATCTATAACCACCAACAGATAGTCTCCAAAGGGAAATGGTCCGCAAAAATCAGCACTAACGTGACTCCAGGGTTGTGATAGACATTTTGTCATGTGAAGTGGTTCTGGTTTTGGTGAGGTTCCAGTGTTTGCTGATTGACATGGTATACAATGATTGATGAGTGATTCTGTATCTCGATCAATGTTGGGATACCATACTTTTTCTCGAAGTAATCGTTTGGTTTTAACAAATCCTTAGTGACCTTTGTGAGCTATTTTGAGACAATTGTCACGTAGGGTTCTGGTATTACCAATTTTGAATTTCTGAAAGCAACTGATGAAACAACCGATAAATGGTGTCTGACGTTGTAGAATGGTTTAATGTCAGGATCAGCCTTATTCCAGATATTGGTGTTGATAGATTGGATCAATTTCTGCATAGCTGCATCCGTCGATGTAGCTTCTCGGATCATCTCTAAAGTCATAGATTTTGGTACAGCATTATTAGCAATACAATTAACATATTCTTCTATATCTCTATCAAAATTTGATTGGAAGGGTTGAGGGTGTCTCGATAAGAAATCAGCAGGATTGTTAGCTCCTGGTTGATATTCAACTAGTAAGTTATATGGTTGCAAACGTAGTAACCAACGTTCAATTCTTGCTGTAGGTTTGGAAAGTGGTTTATTAAAAATCCTCTCTAATGGTTTGTGGTCCGTGATGATGATGAAATCTTTTCCATAGACATATAGATGATAACGTTATACAGACCAAACTATGGCAAGTGCTTCACGATCTATCTGGGAGTATCTTCTTTCAACATCATATAGGCTTCCGCTAGCATAAGATATGACGTAGCGATGATCATCTGCATCAACTTGGGTAAGTACTACAGGACTAGCATCTACAAAGATCTCTGTTTTTCTTGCAGGATCAAAGTACAATATAACTGTCTCGACTGATAGACTATCCTTCAGATTTTGGAAAGCTGTTTGATGTTCTTCAGTCCATGACCATTTGATTCCCTTTTTAGTTAATTCTCGGAGAGGGTCGGTGATTATCGAATGATGTGGAATGAATCGGGCTATATAGTTTGTCATTCCTAATAAGCTTCTAACAGCAACAGCATCTTGTGGAACAGGTGCTTCTTTGATTGCAGCAACTTTAGCAGGGTCTGGAGATTATACCCTGAGGCGAGAATATAAATCCGAAAAATTCAAGTTTGTGTTGGTTGAACAAATATTTGTCGAGATTTAGTGTAAGATTCTTTTCACGTAGGCGTTGAAATACCATATGAAGAGATTGGTTGTGGTCAGTGTCTTATTTACCATAGACAATGATATCGTCGGAGACGTTAATTACACCTGGTATGCCTGTCAAAACTTGCTGGATTATGTACTGGAATATCTCAGATGCCGAAGATAAGCCAAACAATAGTCTTTTGTACCTTCTTAAACCAAGGTGTGTTGCAAATGTTGTAAGGTAGCGTAATGATGGGGCTAACTCAATTTGGTGATAACCTTGAAAAAGATCAAGTCTTGAAAATGTTGTGGATCCGTTAAGGTATGATTTCATCTAAGGTTGGTGTTGGTTTACGTTGCATGGTAACAGCTGTGTTGGCTGCTCTCATATCAACACAAATTCTGACTGTGTTATTCCGTTTCGGTACGATAACAATGGGCGATACCCAAGGTGTTGGTCCAGATACTTCCTCGATGATGTCAGAGTCTTGAAGTTTTTGAAGTTCAGCTTCAACAAATTTTCTTGTATGGAAAGGAATGCGTCTCGGTAGGTTGAGCAATAAGTTTAACTGTTTCGTCGATGTGGATTTGGAATTGGTAGTCTTTTAGTTTGCCTAATCCTTGGAAAACATCTTTAAATTCAGATATTAAAGTCTCAGACTTTGGATAGATCAGATGATATTGTGGAATTTACTTGAAATATTTGAACGAGATCAAGTTCTAAACAAGACATGTACCCAATAAGAGTGCATAAAATAGTGCCGTACATTGCTTGATTGGAGTTTCTATAGTAGCATCAAATATTCCTAGGATTGGTAGAGGAATTGTTGAAATATACACGTAGATCTTAGATTTTGGTGTTCTCAACTCTAACGCTTTATGTCTGATGATTTTCTGATATGTTTCCTTGTCGGCGATATTGACTGATGCTCCAGTGTCGATGATAACAGGAATGGTTACACCAGCAATGGTAAGATTAGTAAGCGTTTGCTTGCTGTTTCAGAAGATGATTGACTGTCATGAATAAGATTGATTGATTTAGGTTTGGATCCTCCATTATTGGATTTCGACTTTGATTGGTTGTATCGATTGGTTGGTTTAGCAAGTCTTGGTATTTGTAAATTTGCTCTACAAACTCTTGCAAAATGATTTAACCTTCCACAATTAGAACAGGTTTCCCCTTTTGCTGGACATGGTTTGTCTACATGGGGCCAAAATCCACCACATAAGCCACAGGTTTTGTTTTGGTTATGCCGATTAGATTTGGGATGGTTGTGAGGTTTAGAATTCTTGGTTCCACCTGATGACATATAGTTGACAGATTCTGATTTTGTGGTATCGGTACGTGACGAATGATCCATTTGGTTAGTTTGACTCTCAGCGGATTCCATAGCTTGTGAAATATCTAAAGATATTGTCGAGTTTAAGATCCTTCTCTCTGAGTAGACGCCGTTTAAGTCTTGAAGAAGAGCATTTCTCGACTACTTGGTCAGCAATGGCATCATTAACATCAGGAAAATCACAAGCAGCTGATAGTGATCGAAGGCGAGTTACGTTACTTTTAAAAAAATGTTTGTTTTTTTCTAAATTCTTTATGAATTTCATCTGCTATTCCCATACCCATTTTCATCTTTGCTTTCAAGAGTTTAATGATTAATGCTCTTTGCATTCTCTCTTTGAAAGTTGGATTTGGAATATTTTCAAGTTCGATTATCATTTGTTTGTCTGCTTCGTGTCTGCACTTTATGTTTTTATTTCTGTATAAAATGTTTAAGTGCAGCAGTATCAACTCTATTGACGGGTTCTTCACCTGGTTTTGGTTTATCGTTTTGGTCTAATCGTAGATCTTACCTTGTACCTGGACCAGTGTAATTATGACCGGGAAGATGTTTTTCTCCAGGGTATTTTGCCCATGGAAAACAAGGAAGAGAACCTAATGATTTTTGAATGTCAGAACCGAAATAAGTTTGAGCAATTATCATTGACATATTTATATAATAATTTTAAAACCATTGCCTTTTTTATTTTCTTATCTTTTATTTCGCATTTCTCTTATATGTTGTAATTCTTTCAACTCGTTAGATCTTTCACTGCTTCGCTTATATTTACTCCTGCTTTTGCAACAGATCCTACAGATCCAACGGCATGGGCTTCTGAGGAAATAAGGGATTTGTTGTTTGAGACAAAGTTGGCTACTTTTGGGATGAGAGATGATAGAGCCAAGAAGAAACCGTCTCCTTCGAATTTCTTTTGTTTGTGTTTTAAAATTAACTCATTCT